ATTTTTTGGCGGGCATTCTAGCTAAAGTTACCAGACCGTAAGGGACCACGAGTTATAATAAGAAAGATGTTTTGTAAAATAATGTAAGATAGAGTGATTAATTGGCATTGGCAAGGAGATCCATCTTTCTCAATACTACTACTAACAATATTATCTTTCCTACAGAAAAAGTCTTCCCAGCATATTCCTCGATACTAGCCTCGCTGATGATTGTGAATATATTTAGTAGACAAGTGCAGACTATCTAATAAGGAATAATCTTCCTATTCTTGCGAAGTGCCTGCAAAGTGCCTCAATGGCTGATGGCTGATCAAATCATATCATATAGCTTCAGAGGAGCGCCAAGCTGAAAGAGATTGTCATGTTTAGCAGACGAGTTGTCCCAATACCATAGTTCACTGAAGTGAACAGACAAGCGTAGATCTGTTACCGGATAGACTCTCGTGTTCTACACCTCTTATTCCGTATACTGTCTAGCAAAATATTATCCCTATCAATGAGGATTGTTGCGTTCTGTGAACGAGTCATCCCTATATCATATAGCGGAGGGAAAAGATTGTCGTGTTCAGCAGATTTCTCTCAATTTTTGGTGGATAGGCTTTTCACTCCTATATTTCTTCCAGTTGGCCAGACATTATTCGTTAGTAGATATAGCTAACTGTCTCCAAGGGCGGTTTTGCTAATCCATTTTAACTCTTTCTCACTCTGCTATCTTTAGAGGCATAAGGTAGTGTTAGAAATAGATTAGCTGAACTATATTTTCTTGCCAAATAGTATAGAAGTACAGAAGTAGTTCGCTTGACAGTACAAGAGTGATGTTTCGCAAGATGGTATAAGAAGCTATGCGAGGCTATTCAAGCATCTGGCATTGATCTTAGAAATAAAAAAAGAAGTTATACTCAAGTGGATTACTAGGTGATAGGTTAAGTAAGTGCCTGCTATGCATCTGATGATAAAGAAACGCTTCAGGTATTTATTTGAACGTCTTATATTTCAATCTAAACTAAAAGAGTTGTAATGCGACGATACGCTCTAGATATGATTGGCCAGGAAAGATGTTTCTCAGATCTTTTTTCCTATGACTATTTTAGTCACGGGATTTTGAGAAATATTACCTGACTCTTGTGAACTCAAAGCTGGGTAAGTGTGAGAGAGTAGCTGATATGTCAGACTTTACCAACGCGCGTGATCATACACTTGACAGGATACAGATTATGATAGGAACGATGATTTCCTAGATAGTATTTGAGACAACATCTTTCGGGAAGACAGAGAAGCCTCAAGAAGATACACGAAAAAGGTATGGGAGACATGCACTATAGGAGTGATGCTGAAGATGGCTGACTCGCAGGACTACTATATCTTGACTCGATTTTCTCCGCACTGGCACTAGGCAGGTGTAAAAATAAGGGTACACTTTCAGTAGTACCCCAAGGTAACAGGAGAGACCATTCTGGTTACACAAAATTTCGATTTTGTCACACAGAATTAACCAATCAAATCGTAAAATTTTGATATTATCACATATTATTTGACCAATAGGATTTCGTTATATATAAGAGTAACGTGATAATATAATTA